AAAGTAAAAAAGAGATAATAAAAGTAATTCGTGTAAGATAATTTCTTTTCTTAGAAACGAAAGATAATAAAAATTTCACTAATAATTTATCATTCCTTTAACCAGAAACTCTGAAATTCACCATATTTTTAATAAATGACCAAAAGGCCTAGTAGTCGAAGGATAATATGTTAAAACTAATTAGCCTTAGATCTAAACAAGTATTTCCCTCTCAACATCGTAGTCCTATTTGATGCTAATATTGATGAGCCGCTTTCCTTGTTTTATCCATTGTTTCATGATTGCCTTTCCAGAAGGTAAAGATGAGCTAACTTATATACATAGATTATATTTCGTTTTTGCTTGCGAAGTTAACCATCACCTGGAAACACTAGCTGGCACATCCTTGATTCTAGTTCTAATCACGTACATATAACACTTCTGCAAAACTGGCTAAACTCATACAGAGGTAAACAAACTATTTCTGAAGAAGATGCAGTAGAAGATCACTGACTAGACTAACATGTATCCCGGACTTTGACCCTGCGACTATGAACTGAGCAGCTGTTGGCCATTTAAGAATCCAGCCCTTCATTTCATAATAAACTTTCACCAGACTTGTTTTGGTACTTATGGATGATTCTCACGTTTTCTTAGGTTATGGTTGTTTAACAACAACGTCGTAAGGTGTGGTTGGCATATCTGTAATTACTGGGTCTCTACAGTAGCACACAGGGCAGTTAAAGCTTATAGTTCTTCCTAATCTATGTTTGTTGAATGGGCCTTTACTCATGTTATGTAGAAGTTCTGACTGCGTCTTGGAAACCTGTTTCAGACAATTGCGGTGCACACCAAAATGAGAACATCAACTCAAAGTTAAAAAATAATAAGGCATCTCGTTAGAAAGCAAGGTAAAGATGGAATATATCTCATTTTTACGACTACGATTTTTACTTATTATGTCAAACGAATTTGATATATTCTTGCATTCATGAGAAATGTAGGTTGAAGATATGTAACGAGAAATAATTAGGTTTTTATACCGCTCAGATGACCCCCTAAGATATGTATGAAGCTCCTTTAAAAACGGTGTTCATTGTCGTCTAGCAATGATCAAAATGTTTATGAAAGTGTTTGCATTCTTCAAAATTATAACACTGAAGTTACATTTATTAAATACATTTATGTGAACGTTTATTTCATCTTAAAAATAAGTTGCAATTCATTAGTGGAGAGAACAATGTTGTTTTTGTATCTTTCAGGTAACTTACATTTGTCTTAGCACTTAATTAGGAAAAAGAAGATTAAATAGTAGTATCATTAAGGAGAAAACAACGGACACTTAATGCATCAAAATGTCTTGGATTCATTAGAAAACTGAATAAAAACCGTAATTACAGAAGTTTATTTATACTTTATAAGAACTATTTATAAATTATTTTATATTGTTGTCTTGCTGAAGATGTGAGCTGCCACGCCACAGGAACGTTTTTAGATCGTACTTATTTGATTCACAGAAAATCCTGACTACTTGATAGTGAAATGACGCCAAAGGTTGAGGCTGGAGGGATGTAAATTCTTTTCCGATAATAAATATTCATATTGCGAGAGTGTTATATGATGCAGACATACCATTCTTAAGAAAATAGTCTTCAAAGTTCTCCATGCAAGAGGAAAAATACGTACAATGGTATGTTTATAACAGCAACAGACTCAGAAACTACATCCCAAGCATGTCCGTAACAATGCTTAAAGTGAAGGTTGTGGTCGTAAAAGAGAGCCTTCCACTGAAAACCCCATTGCGACGACGTTGGACATTTCTCCTAGAACATGTAATGTGATGTCAATCAAGCATTTGAAGTTGACAAAAATTTCATCACCCAAATGTTTGCAAGCTCCCAGCTACACATCTACATCAGCCTGTTTTCATGAAAAACATAGCCGAAGAAACTAGAATCACAACAGTCTTATTGGATCACATATCTATCTCCTCCATGCATCTTCAGCTGAAGTTTGACGTGTCTTTTGTCTGCTTAAAAAGCAGCCGTAGTAGTCGATTCAAGTATAGAGGAAATTCTGAAAAAGGTTTTTCAAGATATGTCTTTTAAGATTGCCCTCGCCGTTCTACGCAGTAGCTGGTGGCAATTTAAATTGTGGCGTCAGGCGAGAGTACGAAATCATGACCATAAAGGTGAGTATGATTGATAATGGTTGATGTTGGAACGTAGTTGCTATAAAGTACGATTATCCTTCTGTGTATTCAAAATTATGTATATTATAAGTCTCTTTTGATTATCAATGTAGCTGAATGACAAAGATATCACTTAAAACACAACTTTCTTTTATGTTATTTTTTAGTTGTGTGTTCAGTCATGGCCTAACGTTTTAGTTGAGTGTAGCAAACAGGTTGCGTTCGCAAGAAAGAACAAAACTGTTAGAAATATCTCGAGAAAGCTGGAAATAACGTTCAGAAAGCACTACTTAGAAAGGAAACATCTTTCCAGAATACTTTACATTGTTAGCCCTTATAGATGTACATGTATCCAATTTATATATCAAGTAATTGAAGCTGCACTTAGACACGATAAGTTTGATATTTGTTACTCCCGGTAAAGTATACATTTGAAACCTGGTTTAAAAAGTTAATGCATATTCAGAATGCAATATGTATTCAATATATGTTTATAATAGAGTATACTTTGTATTTTATAGAAAAGTATGGTCAAAATCGTTAACGATGGCAGAGGTGTGGGTCATTATTGATAAAACTTCATAATTCTATTTAGTTGCCAAAACAGGCGTGATATTAATGAGTTTATGAGGTGAAAGTCTACAATGTTGTGTTTTGTGTTTAGGACTTTATCGGTAAATCGACGTCGATTACGAAAGTAGGTTAACTTGAGTTTCCACGTCATATCACATTAGTGTATTCGGAGGGTCTTTGTAATACACACACACACACATATATATATATATGTGTGTGTGTATAAATGTACACAATTTTTTTTTCTAACTAATTTCAAATTTCATCGATAGGCTAGTCCTCTATCTATTCACCATTTATAAGTCAGATACATGAGATAAGAATGTTCCTTGTTACTTACCAACTAATATCGTATATTCTCTAGCTTTTAATTACGCTTAGGGATCTTAGAAGTTCTCAGGCTTCTGTTGTTTTTCTGTTGTTATTTTTTTTTTCATTTCATATATTTTTTCTTTGTTTGTCTATGTCTTACTCTCTTTTTTTTTCTTTTAGCTTCACCATGTTCATTTAGGTTAAGTTCCATGTATTTTGACAGGGCGTGGTCAAATAACGTTCCTGAACTATGAATCCGAGTTTTCAAGGTTCACGTACTGTTGCCATAAAAACATGTACTTTGGAGCCTTGGTTGCGTTATAAGAGTGGTTGTCAAAGTTAGCGGTTTGTGCTGTTGACTAGCTGCCTTTCGTCTAGATGGCTTAATGCAAATGGTCATTGTGTAGCTTTGTTCGAAAATCTGAAACAAATTTATTTGTTGGTTCTTTACTTTTGTTTCCAAGAATTGGTTTCAAACAGCAGTCTTGATTTTGAAGACATCTGTCTTGTAGCCAACAGTATATAATTCTCAGGTAATATCCTAATTGCCTTGAACATTCTCCTTCTGTATTAAACCACAGTCTATTGAATTATGTTTGCAATAACTTACATGTTCTGTTACTTGAACAAACATAGGTGGCGTTGATGATGCGTGTTTTATTTAGCTATCATGTGATTATAATGCTTTTTTTTTACCTTATATACAATTACTATAGCTTCGATAATTAAAATATAACCGATAAAGTATGATTATTATAAAACCTATGACAAAACGGTAATTTGAGGTCATTCTACTAGATCTTTCTAAGGTAGAATTATGACATACGAACCGATGACTATTAGTATTGATTTCATCTCTTCCCCTGATTCCGGGAAAATTATTAGGCTGAAAGTCATTAGTTTCACTGAATTAGCATATAGACAGTTTAATTAAAATCAACATGTTTTCAGTCTGCTTACAAACTCTCACATGCAACCTTCAATTTTTGTATGGGTAAGGCTTTGAAGTTCATACGTGGTAATCATCCACAGCTTTTACTTGTACTCCATCTTTTACTTGTTACTGTCAGTCATTGCCACAAGCAACAATATGGAACTAAGTAACAAATACATAAAGCATTTGATAGATATTATAACGAAGTCTTTTAAAAATAGTCTCACATTTTCTGCAAAGTGTGCTAATGAATAATTTGTAAAACTGGCAAAGTTGACGTATTTCTAAAAGCAAATAAAGACTTGGTTCACTCAGTTTTGTGCTTTAAAGAAATAGAAACTTAAAGTGCATTAGGAAATTCAAAACTTTAGAATAGATTTAACTAATTTGTAAGTTGTGTGTCTTTTAATTTAAACTACTGCATGGAAAACACAAAAACTTGGTTGTTTGTTTCGTGCCCCGGCTCATCTAAAAATCTGTACAACATGATGTGAGCATTTAGTCCGTCCACAAAAGTACAAAAATCTCAACACTTTCTCTTTCCACCCACTCAGAGAAATTGGAGACAGCAGCTATTTATAAAGTGACATCATAAAGTGTCATGGCCGCGTTTACCATGTAAGGATAGACTTATGCAATTTCTTAAATCACAGTTCTCCTGCGAATAACATAAAACGTTGTGATTATTATTATCAGGTGTTTTTGAAATTAATGCGTTTTTATAATTTCTTATCTAAGGTATCGACAGTAAAAAATATAATCTCTACCCAATCCTGAATATAATCTTATAACATTCGTGATTTTTAAAGAGATATTTTGGCTAATGACTAATGGCTAATGTATATGTATATTAGATAACACTAAGTTAACACATCAGCTGTAGTAAAAATGATAACATTGTATCTACACATATATCATTTCCTAATCATATAATAACTAAACAGAACATTTTCTTCATAAATGTTTATAATATATATATATATATAAACTATATAAAAGGAAAACATTCACTAAATGTTAGGATTTTTTACTCCTACAGTTTACATTTTTGCATGAATTTCTGAAGATAAACCACAGTATAGACAACGAAAATAGGTATTTCAAATCATAGCGAGTCCTCTAGATGAGTCAGCGTTAAGTTTCCGGACTTATGTGGCTAAATTCTGGGGGTCGATTCCAGGCGGTGGACAGAGCACAGATAGCTCATTGTGTAGCTTAGTGCTGGAATAACAAAAACAAAACCATTGTTAAATTGGGGTTAGGGTAAATGACCACACACAGTTTGTATTCATAATTCTAAAATATAAATAGCATATCTCCTTTTGATTCTCAACAAGAACTACAAAGATAAGAAACATTGTATTCAATACCTTGTTTTTTCAAGAACATTTGGAAACAAATTTTTGCTCTCGCATACATACATTCCAGTTTCCAAATGGTCACATGAATGCATAATGAGCACTTAAATACAAGTCCCCTGGTGGGACAACGGTAAGTTTACAGACTTACAACACTAAAGACCGGGATTCGATTCCCCGTGTTAGACACAGCAGAGAGCTCAATGTGGCTTTGCTCTAAAAGAAACATAAAGAAAAATATCAAACGAAACCCGAAGACGTATTCGTTGCTTTCTGTTTTATATAAGTACAAAGATAGGCCAGCAAGATCAAATAATAATATGGACTACTTTTAAGTTTATCCTAGATTTGATATCACTTTTGATGTACCGCATGTGTTAGTTATGTATGTAGTGTGTTATTGAGAAATAGATTTTTGTGTCGTCATTCACAAGAGTTATACATACTACATCAGATTTATTTATTATTTTTGAGCGTGGGAATACCTAATAAGCAGTGGCCTAGATCTGATGTCTGGGAATGTGTATATATATTCGTCAGCTGCCACCATATGTTGGAGGATACACTGATCTAGGTTGTAGGTTGGCTTCTACAATGTTACAGGGTTACAAGACATGAAATGTCTAATTATGCAACTAAGATATGATAAAGTGAATACATATTTTTTTCAAGTGAAATGTTTTTGAGTTCTAGCACGTGTTTGAAATAAAAAGTTACATAAAAATCACTGTTGCTTATTGACTGCCGTTAAGATTTACATTGCTGAATGATATTCGGTTGGTAAGTATTCGGAAATTAGATTGTTTGTAGAGTAAAACCATATTGAACTTCTTGAAAAGGAGGATATAATAGAATATGTTGAAGTATGTAACGATTAGGTGTAATAAGCAGTTTTCTTAGTGTGTGTGTGTTTATTTGTAATCCAATAATACCTGAAAATGTCCATGCGAAAGTAAGATATGAAAACATTTTTTTATTTTATGCAGCTAAGGAAACCTTGGTATTGTAAAATAATAATAATAATAATGAAGAAAATAAATGTTCCTTATTTTTTAACGTCAAAAGAACGAATACACATTTTTTCAGCTGACCTTTGCATTTAACCGAACAGATGTGTATGTGTATGTTTTTCAGTCGACAATTCCATTTGTAAAAGACTAGTTGACCAATACTAAATCAATTGGGCTATCACCTCTAACAGACTGGTTGACCAACACTAAACCAGATGACCTGTTACTTCTAATATATCAAATACAATTTGATGTTTACGTCAGATGAGGACTATAAGAAATACAATTTGTGGTTATTTTTAGTTACTCATAATTTTCTACGCCCACCATACCTACTTAAACAGCTATACATTTATATCGTTTCATAGCTTTTGCTATTTTCCGTACGTTTTGGTATAGATTTGCTTATGTAAGATAGTGTGTGTGGCAGTTTTTAAGAAAATTAATGAAAATTTCTGAAGAAAAGTTTGTTATTCATTGCAAGGTATTTCAGTCAATCAAAAAATGAAGATAAGCAAACTTTTAGTTCCTAAGAAATGTTTCTTAGTTTCTCTCAAGCTCTATTCCTGCATGAGGAGATTAATTAAGCAGATAAAAAGCTTAATTTCGTTTTAGTAGCTTTCTGAATTCCAAGTTTTTAAGCATTGATATATGACGTAATATATATAGTTTAAGCATCATATAAATGCGAAACTTACGAAGTTAGTGAAATTTTTGGTAACGACGAATTTTGAATATAACGTGAAATTTACAAAACTTTTTAAAACAACGCTCGCTTAACCGGTTAACTCTAGTAGAAAATATTATATTATATTTGTACGCGTAATTTTCTAAATGTTTGTTTGTAATTATGCACAAAGCTACACA